CGGGAGCGACTTGCCGGGCTGGGGCCTGGGACCTTGTTTGTCCCATCACCAGTCTGAGACGGCTCATGGAGGAACAAAAAGGTGGAGGGTCGCATTCTCCCTCTGTTCCTGTCCTGCTGTGGGCAGAGTTTCCTTTATTATTTTCTGCAAGAGTAAAAGTAAAATTTCATAGTCACCTTCCTTTTTTTTTTTTCTTTTCTTTTCTACCCTCACCCCCATGTCCCCCTGGCAAAGCCCTTGTTTCTTTCCCTGGGTATGAAGACTGAACATGTATTTCAGGATTTGGGCCTAAAATTGTTCTGTAAAACAACAGTATGCTCTAGCTCTGATATGCTGTCGGGGAATTTTGTTCTCAAGTCACTCTCAGTGCTCTGGCAGAGACAGATTTAGTAAAGTCAGTAAGAACAAACCACAAGTATCTCTTTCACAATCCACAAGGTACATTGCACAATATTCAGAAAGCAATATAAATCTGTTTGCTCCTAATGACTTTAGTCCCACTGGCCGGGATGGAAATTCTTTACTCTATTTACATCGGTCTAGAAATAGCCAGGTTAAATCTTCATGAGTTTCAGAGCTAACAAGTATTTACTTCCAGACACTAAATTTAAGTTTTTCTAACATGAAGAATTTCCAGCCCTTTGCACTGTTCTAGTTGTAACCCAAAACTTTTCTAGCCCCCCACCCCCAAAAGACAGAGATAAGATGGAGAGACGGGGTCCTTTGTCCATCCAGAAATGTCTCCTATGATAAACACCCTGCCTGGGAAGCGATATACACCCCACTAGCATGAGTTAAGAACTTATTTGCCATTTGTGTTTATGTTGTCAGCACTGGGTGGCCACGGGGCCTGCAAGTGGTATTTCACCTCTGATAAATCTTTCACTTGAACCCAGCCCAGCTTAGTCGTGTCACCAAAAGTTACCACCTGACTGCTCTTTGGCGGCGTCTCTGAACGGAGGATGAAGGAAGCCTAGCCCAGGGACGGCCCCATCCTCGCAGCACACTCAGGGGCCGCGTCCCCCCCAAAGGGCTACGGAGAAAGTGAGGCGGCAGCTACAGCCCGAGCTGCTCAGCTGGGCAGCGGGCAGCCGTGCTTCTGAGGCAGGGCAAGGCCAGCCTGCCCGCTCCTGCATGCCTTCCCTCAAAATCGCTTCCTGCCCTTGCTGTGTAACCTTGAGGTAAGTGTTTTCCTTCCCGCAGAGCAGTTCAGGAGGAGCCTTTTCTCGAATGGGCTTTCTGTGTATATGGACAGGTCCCAAGCAATCATCGAGTAGAAAATGTGGTTTGAAAACCCTGGACTGAGGCTGTGCAGAGGGCCAAGCAAGGTATTCGCACACTCTTGTCATTATAGATGCTGCAGGAGCATGCAAGTGCCTTAACTCAAACAGTCTTTCTTGGTTTCTTGATCACTTCCTGAGCCTTCTGTTCGTAGGAATCCTTATGCAAGACCGTGAACGTCACTGGTTTTATTCATGATTTCTCACGCATTGCTGCAGTGCTGCCAGTACTCGCTCCTCTCAACCAAAATACCATCCCAGGGACACTGCTTATGGCCAGGATCTAATACAGTGCAGGTCATTTAAAATGATGGTTTAAAGCGAGGTAAGCTGGAGAACTTTCAGCATTTCATTCTGCACTGTGCTGACCTTGGCAAGCGATCGCCTGCAAAGTATGCAGAGTAGCACTAGCAAATCACATGTTGGTAATGGACACCTCTCTTTGGCTGGCAGACATTTTAAGAGTTGCAAAAAGGTCAATACTTCTGAGAAGTAGCTTTTCAGAGAGTGAGGGGAAGTATCCCGACTGTGGGATGTTTGTCCACAGCCTCCTCGGTCCTACTAGCAATCTACAAACCCTGCAATCTGAGGGTTTTGTTATACACACCAAGAAAACAGACTCTTAATTACAGGACATCCATAAACAAAGCTCCTGTGAGCCGAAATGTGCTGTAATCCTTGGAAGGAGTGAAAGTCAGCCCTGCAAAACCACCTTTTAGCCCCTGGATTGGGAAGAACAAGGTGTAAAAAGGCTGCTGTCTTGGGAGAGACGCTCCTGTGGCCAGATTTTGCACATTCAATAACAAGAAGTGTAACTGAAAAGAAAGATTTTTATTCTACGTGAATCACATTCGTTTAAGGAAGGCTGTGCCCACAAATATGTGGGAAGATGATGGTCTAGAAAACCTGAGCTGCATCCCTCTCAACTCCTACTACCTGGCTGAGAGCCACAGGCTCCGTAATGGCAGGCAGCGATCCCGCAGGCAGGCAGGCAGGCGGAGGGATGCCTCACAGTGTCAGAATAATGTAACACAGAAGCTGCAAGTTTTCTGACTATCACTCCCTGCAATGAAGGGCATAATTCTGTGCAATTTTAAAACGATTTTTTTTTTAATTTTAATTTTACCTCTGAAAATCATGCTTTCTTGGCTTATATTCTGACTGAAGGAGGCAGCTATGCTTATTTTTGTGTGTGTGTGTGTGTGTGTGAAAAGCTTCTTGTATCTTTGATCTGTTATTAAGAAACCAAGCAGAGACCTTCAGCAAAATATGTATTTTTTAATCTCAGATCAAAAGGCCCACTGTACATTACAAAGCTGACATAGGAACCGAGTAAAGATCTCTTAAATATGACAGCAGGACAAAATTCCTGCTTGCTCTATGTTTATGTGTCTGAGTTGCTTGTGTGGAAAACCACTCATTTTCCCTGTAGGAAAAGATCAACCTCTGGCTTCTCCTGTGGTAAGGCTGAAAAGTGATAAACTTTTAGCAATTAGTTCTTGGAGGATGAAGGGGTCTTAATTCATACTGTTTGTCAAAATATGCCTAGGAACCCCCCAAATTCATGGCTGCATTTCAGGGGAAATTCAGCATCTTCGCCTTCCCAGCTCAGCCTGCTTGTCAGGAGCCGTCAGATTTAACCACAGCAGGCAGCTGACTTTTCCCCACCCAGACTTGCTCCCTCCCCTCCTCCTCCTCTTCCTCTGCAGAGCCCCTGACTCGCTCATCACTGCTCCTTACCCCGCTCTGCTGGACCCTGGGGTCCCGCAGGAGGACCTGCAGCTGGCCAGCTGATGACTGCTGACCTTTGGCAGGCTCTGCACAGGGTATCGGCCTTACAGCTGGCCACAACTGCCTTCCTGGCAACTAAAGACCTAATGAGCTTGGCCAGCTGGAGGCTGGGCTGGGATCCTGCTGGCTAATTTGACCCTGTGTGAGGGATGGAGGAGTTCACTCCCAAATGTGGAGGGGGCAAGCAGTGCATCTGTCCACGTGCTGCCATGGGGCATCAGGGCCAGGGTCCTCCTGTAGCCAGCTGGATTAGTGGAATGAGTAAAAAAGAGACTGCAGAGCTGTTTTTCTTGTGCCTTATTTGATTTTTTTTCTAGTGGGTATTAGCTTAGGCTTCACTAGTGCCGCCTTTGCCCTTGCTACATCTCATGCTGTTCTCTCCATTCAGTCCAAGAGATAACCCATCCACCACACCAGGGCTGGACTGAGGGGTTTATTCCCCTTCCTAAACACCATGTGATACATCTTCTCCTCGTTCGGCAGGTGCCCCACTTGCCTTCCTGCAGGAGGTTATGCATCCTGGATGCTCACGGACTTCCTGTCGAACCCACCATGCTGCAGAGTCCAGCTACTTTCTCAGAGGTCTTCTGCTTTCTGCTCCCCAGACCAGCTGATGGGCACCATCCAGTCCTGGAGTCTAGTTTCATTTTGAGCGTTAGTTACATTTATGGACTGCCTGGCAATCTGCTGGAAGATGGCGGTGGCTATGATGCCAAAGGCATCGCTTGGCCGTGCTTGAAGGAGGTGGTAGTGGGCATGGTATATGGGGTCAGCAAGCCCAGCGAGAGATCAGAAAGGTAGTTCAGTGTCTGCATTAAATCAAGTGCATTTGAATCTGATACTCTCTGAGAGGCCTTCAAAGCTGGAGTAGCAGCAGAGGAATAAATGTGTGTGTTTTCTCTTTATTTCTTTGATCTTCTTCTATGAATATATGCTTTTGAACTGATAATATTGTCTGTTTTAAAAATCCATATAACATGTATGCTAAGCAGAAGTCAAATCCTACAAAGAAGCCCTAAAAGCTTTAGTTTTGATTTTTTTTGTTTTATTTTTTTTTTAAGTGCCAAATCCTCTGCTTGCAGTGGGACTCAGCGACCTAGCAGGGACTCAGGAACCCAGCAAAGGTCTGGCTGGATTATAAAACTCAAGCTGGTGTGCCTGTTATACATTATAAGGATCCAAAATGGGGATTAAATCAAGTTTGAATTCAGCCTATTGTCTTTGATTGTTTAATTCCACAGAATTTATTAAATTAATATATTGCTAACTCCTTAATTAATGGTGAGCAAACAATGAGTATGACTTCAATTACACCTCTGTATAGCTCAGTGCAAAGACCTCATTAGCAAATGCACCGCTGCTCCAGCAAGAGGTTCATTTTTTTGTAAATGGAAGGATTTGAATCTGCTGAAAAACAGTTCTGTTTCCCTCATTTCCATGTCTTAAGTAACCACATATGCAAGATGTTGTGGGTTTCTTTTTTTTTTTTTTACTAGCATGAGAAAATACAAGTCCTTTTTTTTTTCCTGTCCACCCTGTAATACTTTGAAGAAACAGAAAAACAAGCAGTATTTCCATTTTGAAGAGTATTTATTTCTACAACTGCTGTTATGGAGCATCTTCAAAGTGAGCTAATAGTGCAATTGTGAAACTCACTGCCTGCGTGCTTTGAAAAGCAGAGAAGGAACTGTCTCTGCTGGCCATGATGAAGATGTATCCGAAGTATATATCTGGAGTCCCTTCCCCAGAGTTAAGGCTTGTGTATAGAGTTGTGGTAAACACCTCTATAGACAATAGATACCACAGCAAAAGATTCTTTCTTAGATTTAACTGAGTTGTCTCCGTGACTTGAAAGAGTAGCTTTAAAACCATTAAAACCCCTCAGAGGTGGCTGGAGTAGGGTCAGTGAGGCATCTGGGAGGCGGGTGCCTTTGCTCTGGTCCTCACTGTTGTTATTCTCTCTTCATTCGATAGTATCAACTTGTTAGTAGGAGCAGACCACCAAAGTCATAGAATCATAGTATCATAGAATCATAGAATCATTTAGGTTGGAAAAGACCTTTAACCAGTCCAACCATTAACCTAACAAACACTACCATCCCACCACTAAACCATGTCCCTAAGCACCACGACTACATATCTTCTAAATACCTCCAGGAGTGGGGACTCAACCACTTCCCCAGGCAGTCTGTTCCAATGCTTGACAACCCTTTCGGTGAATAAATTTTTCCTAATGTCCAACCTAAACTGGCCCTGGTGCAACTTGAGGCCATTCTCAGCCACATGTATGCCCATCAAAGGCTGTCGTTCTGGCCCTATGACTCCTATGCTTCATTAAAACTGTGTCCAAAATAAGCAGCTGGGAGTCCTTCAGGCCTCTTCTCAGGTATATATGCTGTGAGTTCCCAAATGTGTAGGTGAAGTGCTTAGCTGCGAAGCTTCTGCAGATGGATGAGCATCCACCTCCTGGGCACCTGTAGGACCTCAGTAGTGAAGACCTGAGGAGGACCTAAACCAGTAAGATTTCAGCTCATAATCCCTGCATGATTAAATGGGAATTTTTGGGGGCCTCATCCTGAGTTTACGCATCCACTCTTGTCTTCCTTGCAAGCTCTATAAGACTGTCTACCTGGCCAGGGAAGATACATCCCATGCAGTTGTTTCACGCAGAGGGAAAGGGGACATCTTGGTAATCTGAAGCTCTTTGACTGCTGGAAATGTGGGTGGCTTAACATCCAGTCCTGGGAAAAGTGACTGTCTCATAAATTGGGAATTCCCTTTGGAAGATGGACCTGGTGACAGGAAAAAGGGCTCCTGCCAAAGCTGGAAAGGTAAGCACTGAAAGCTGGGAGGGCAGTTGCTGTCACATGGTTGTGTACATGGCCATTAAGTATGGAGGAAAAGGATGGTGACTCTGGGCAACTGGGAAAAAGTTTAATTACTCTGAAATCCCCCATGCCGAGCATGAAGTAGAGGAGAAACCAAGTAAACAAGGGCCGAGACAGCTGTATCCTACCAGTGCCCCAAATGCACATTTTTCACGGGGTACAAATTTCTCACATGTTTATCGCCTGGGTGAAATACAAAAATGACTGAACTTTGAAATGTGAAACTTGTTATTTCTAAACTTCCTAATAAGCAGGACAGTGAAAGCTCCTTTTAGAAAAGTGCTTGTGAAATCAGTCTCCTCAAGCAGAAGCGGTCTGCTCTGAGGGGTCTCCTGACCATGTCTGCCTCCCACAGCCCATGTCCCCACCTCTCTCTCTTCCATGGAGGATGACTATGAGAAAAAAATGTATTCATTTTGGTGTGTACTCTTGCTTTAATACATCATTTCAGCAATACCATAGTTCCTTACATTCCTATTTATAAAAATGAATAGTCCGATTTTTATTATTGCTTTTTATTCTCCATTTTTTCCATCTTCAAAAAGTTTTATTGTTTATAAACAATACACTTGGTTACACAAATAAGTTTGAAAGCCGCTTTGGTTTAATATGTCTGGAAACAAATCTTTATCTTCTTGTAAACTCTCTTTTAATCAGAAATAGTGTATTATAAAGTACAGCTAGACAGCTAAGTTTATTCTTGCCACAACTCCACTGAAACCCCTGGAGTTTCACCAGGAACAGATTTGGGCCAGAAGGCCCAGAATATAGTTACAATATATTCATTTTCTCATGCCTCAGAAATGGACTGTTTATGTGCCAAGCTGTAAAGTGATATTCATGATGACTGAAGCCTGAACAACATTAAAATATCCAGATCCTCTGCTCCAAATCCTTTGGTATCCGAAACTGTTCCTTTCCTTTCAGAAGGAGGGGGCTACCACTGCTGAGGGTAAACAAGGGCAGGGGCACAGCTTTAGTACTCAAGCTTAAATACCGAGTAGCCTAGCTAATACTGAGGCTTAACTGCAGGGAGACTGGGTCTAAGGTGCTGCCCCAGCCCTGAAGGCTGCCCAGCGCTCTCCCCACCAGATCCTGCAGCAGAAGCTTTGTGGGCTGACCCCTTCAGCTCAGCAATCCTTGGGAGAGTTGCTGTGCTGTCCCATTGCTTTTTATTGCAATTATAATGGATACAGTGGTTCACACAGCTTGCAGCATGCTTGAGAGCCAGGGCCCATACTTTGTTCACACACTATGGAACACCAAGTACAGTCATGTTTTCTGTTTTATTTGGCCATGATTTCCAGAAGCAGGAGCTTGAAATTACACTCACAATAACTGCAGTGATTTTTCGACGGTCTTGAATGCCAACCAGCTCTTACTGAATACCCAGTTAGGTAGTAAGTACAAGGAATTATTGAAGTTCTCTTGCTCTGGAGTTTAATTTTTTTTTTAAATTTTGCCTATATGTATATTTAAAAATAGAGTATAGTCAGAGAGAAAATTTTGCTGAACGTATGATAAAACCATTCACTTTAAAAAAAAAAATTTAGAATCATTAAAAAGAAATCACTGTGTATAAGATCTTAGAGTAAGATGCAACCAAGTTTATTTTTACAACCTTTTGAACCAATGGAAATACCTATGCACAGGCTTACTTACATATGCAAGTTTTAGCATGTCCAAGGCATAAAAACAGAGGCAAGGAGTTCTTTATAAATAGTGATTTGGGGGAAGAGAAACAGTATATAAGTATTACCAGATTATTTATGTAAGCTGACATAGGACAACTTTGTCTGGAGGTTGGTCATCTTATGCTTGACTGACTCTTTAACCCCCAATTAATTTTTATTATAAATAATCCTGCCATGTTGAGTGTAAATGTCCATAGTGTCTCTGGCAATACCTTTCGCCAGTAGCTTTGTTATCATATTGCTGCAGGCAACTGTTCACTACAGAACTTAGAGGCTCATGGCAGGCAATAGCTCTGCAAGGGTGAGGTTCTGCATGTTTTATGGATGTGAAGACCTGTGCTTGATTCTGACCTTGAAGGTCACTTGGTCAACACCTACAGCTCTTCTTCCTCTATTCCTAATTCCAGAAAGAAATGTGCCTGAAAAATGTTTTGGGTTTTATGAATGCTTTTAGGCTCCTGTTTCTTGTTTCCTTTAGCAAAAGAGAAAACCATTTTATAATCCCACTGAAAATATGGGCTATCTGAGAGCTGCCTGCATGCTAAAAATTAAAAGCAGCAAACAAGCATTGCTCCAACTTGGACAGTCCTGGGGCTTGGCTGAGCCTTCCATCACACACAACTTGAACTTGCTGAGCTGCTCCGCACAACACGGTCTTCCCTGCTGGCGCTCTGTAGTGAATGCATACCTGGGACAGGGATTTCAAACTGTAGCTTTTCAGTCTTCTGGAAATACACCTATGCGTATAATATCCTAGGAGACCTGCAACACCCAATATGTCATGTAGAATCACAGAATAGTTTGGGTTGGAAGGGACCTTTAGAGGTCACCTAGTCCAACACCCTGCAGTGAGCAGGGGCATCTTCAACTAGATCAGGTTGCTCAGAGCCCCATCCAACCTGATCTTGAATGTTTCCAGAGATGGGCTATCTACCACCTCTCTGGGCAACCTGTTCCAGTGTTTCACCTCCCTCATCGTAAAACATTTCGTCTTTAAAGCTCGTGGGTCAGTGCAGTCCCAAGCCAGTGGGCTCCACTCCAAGGACTACATGCAGTGGGGTTTTCTGCCTGGATAATTCACAATTTTCTGATGACAGGCATGCTCAGGCAGGACTCGGCGAAGTCCTGAGCTGATGTCAGTACTGTTCTGCATGGCAGACTGGCAGACCTGGGCTCTAATTTAGAGCTTGGAGTGGGAGAAGAGCTTCTGGATTAATTT